TTTCTTTATTACAAATAAAAATATGTATGTTCAACAATATTCACAGATATGCTTCAATTTCTATAAATTTTTGTTTCATTAATCAGCTTTTTTAGTTCCCCGTGTCTTCCAAGCTACTAAAAGGTTCCAAGAGAAGTATAAAGAAAATGAATGAACCTGAGAGGCCAACAGTATAAACGCATACCACAATAAACCATATGGTAGATCCTAAAAAATTGAATTTTTATAAATGTTGCAAATATTTTATAAAAACATGTAATGGAATATAACAAATTTAGTACTAATGTTACTTATTTTACATATGCATACCTGCCATAAGTGAATTTCTTCCGATTTACCAACGGTGAGATATTTCCATACATCCTTGAAATAATATACAACTGCATACAAAAGTGGACCATATCCTAGTAAAATGATGCCTATCATATACTGTCGTAATGTTTTAACTCTGTTTCTTTTGACAGCGGATAATGCGAGGAAACTTAACATCAAACTTGAGCACCATATGTACTCCCACCACAGAGGCTATAATAGAAAAGTTTATTATGCATTTGAATTAAAATGCAAAATATTTAAATATTTACCTGAGGTACTTGTAATTCTTCAATCTCTAAAATAAATACATCCAGATGGTCTAAAATATCGGCAGATAACTTGGCAAGCATAACGAAGAAAAGAAGATAGTGAAAAAATATACAATATTTCAGTCTTGATTTATTTGTTGCGCTAAAAGGAAGATACATTTAATCCTAGTTATACGCAAATAACGGACATGTAACGATTTATTTATAATTATTTATTTAATATCTACAAAATAAAAATTTCTATATTTGAAATAGTATCGAACCAATAGAAAATAGATCTGAATGAAAAAAGAAAAAGATTATGTTAGTTTACTTTACATTAATTACCTGACTTGGTAGTGACCAGCAATTTTTTGTCTATGATTGAAATCACTTCCATCTGTGCCCAATGCCTGGGACAGCGTAACTTTTGAAGCCATATTTCGAAATTATCGTGAATGAGACGTCAAAACCACTTCCCTATTTTAGTGGCAAAAAATTCTATACAAGCAATTTTGGAACAGTAATTTTGGATAAATTATTTGGTACTTCATTACCAACTATTTAACTATTTTTAAACTTTCAGAACCCCTGTTAGTGGTCTCATGGGTCACGGCTCCTTGTATATGTGTCAGTTTCGTTAAGTCAAATTTCCATTTGTCAGAAAACGAGATCGAGTCTTACTACCTAACTGTTCATTTTCATTTCAGTTGTTTATGTACATTTGTAATTGTTGTGTGGCCATTTTATTTTTTTTAGAAAAAAGGTATAATTAAATATTTCATTAGAATGAATTTATTTTAAGTTAATTCATTAATAAATTAATCGATACTGTCATGTCGATATAAATTTTGATTACGTTACCCACGGACTTGTTCCTATGTACGTATATACGTAAATACATAATACAACATTTATTAGAATACAATGCAATATATAATTAAAAATTGTATTGATTTAATTTTTTGCTCTTTCATTCTTTATTTTATTTAATATTTATTTATTACACAATTCTAACACAGATTTTTTGCATAATATAACTACATGGAAGTTTAATATGTATCAACATCAAGTGTTTACCGATGACAACCAATGACGATCACTAACCGCGTAACCACGTGTGTTTGAATGCTTTATAACCTACGAATAGGCCAATTTGAAATTTTATTTTATTTATACAAAGCAATATACTAAAGCAGCTATAGAAAAATGTGGATTATTATATATGGTTTATGCTTGTTATTGTAATGAATATTACTCTCTTATACTAAATCGATAATGATATATTCGTAAAACACCAAGTAAAATTAAATTCGACAGCTATAAGTGTAGTAGCTATAAGTAATACGAAATAAGGTAACAAAAACTGTTTCTTAATATTATATAAAAATAAGAAAAGTACCACACAATGTATCATTTTCTGTTTTAGTAATATGAGTTTTAATAAAATTAAAGACATTATAGAAGAAGGAGATGTAGTAATTTTATACTTGGGACCTGCTAATATGCATTCTCTAGAAATAAGTTCTCAAATTCAGAATAAAAAGGGCAATATGGTTGATAATGTCTTTCAAACAACATATGGAGCTCTTAAAGTTATATCACTTGTTGGACAAAAATATGGAACTAAAGTACAACTTTCACGCGGATGGGCGTATGTATTACAACCAACGCCAGAACTTTGGACATTAACAGTCCCCCACAGAACACAAATTTTATATAGCCCCGATATAAGTCTTATTATATATTTAATGAATTTAACACCAGGAAGTATAGTCATTGAAACAGGTTTCAAGCACATAATTATATTATTTAATTCAAATAAACACTTGTTTGTCTGTATCTTCATATGTTTCTCCTTATTATAGGTACAGGTAGTGGTTCCCTTTCACATGCACTTACACGCACAATTCGTCCTCATGGTCATCTTTATACATTCGATTTTCATGAACAACGTGTAAATGTTGCAAATGCAGAATTCAATAGACACGGACTCAGTGACTTTGTAACAGTAAGTCATAAAGATGTATGTTTAGAGGGGTTTGGTGAAGAATTAAAAAATAAAGTAGATGCAATATTTTTGGATCTTCCACATCCTTGGCTGGCAATTGATCATACCTTGTCCGTTTTTAAAAAATCAGGTACAAATGAATTTTTTAATTTATTTTGAAAGTATTTCTTGTTACATAGAATTAATATAATTGAAGTAATAACAATAACTGTAATACTGTAATATGAACGAGTGTGTATGATTCTTTGAAAATCTTAAGTAAAACTACAAAATTATTTAATTTTTAGGTGGAAAACTTTGTTCCTTTTCACCTTGTATTGAACAAGTACAGCGTACATGTATAAAATTATCAACAAAGGGATTTATTGAATTAAATACATATGAGTGTCTACAAAGAGAAGTAAATGTGCAGTACAAAAATCTTCCTACACTGGATTTAGAATGTTTGAAACATGAGGTGGGTCAAATAAATATAATGTAACTGTTAGTATAGTTCTAATAGTAGTAAGTAGATGGAATATTTTTTGTTAGAACATTATCTTTTATTATTTAACTTTGTAGAAAAATATTGCAATTATCATGATACTATAAATGGCACGTGCTTTTATCTTTATTTTTAAAAATATTATAACATTAGTTTTGAAATATTAATATCAACTTTTAAACTACATTCCAGCATATAACTGAAGATATGACACAGCAAAGTAAAAATGAAAAGCACAATCAAACAAAACTTCTTACTGTAACACATGCTCACTCTTTACCTGGTCATACAGGATTTATTACAATTGCTACGCTGCCTCCGTCTTATGCACGGAAGTCAGAAATAAGTTTAGAATCTATAGACTGATTAAATTCTAAATTATGGCAAAAAATCACAGATTGCTCATTACTTATGTCAGATCAAAAGTACGATTTCAGGTCAGTATATTCAGCATGAAAATGATTGATAATAAAAAAGCGCTCTGAAAGTAAGGAATTCTTCGCAGATCTTATTCAAATATTTTATGTCTCTACTTTGTTGGGATTCCAAGATAAATAATCGACTCGTGTAGCAGCTTCATATTCTTTCACTAAGTATTCAACGACTTCTCTAGAATTGTCTAACTCATCCAAATTGTCTTCAAACATTTTTTCTTTGCGAAACTGCTCCAAAAATGCTTCTCGTTTTCGTAATTTATCATATTGTTGTAAGGCACGATCAAATAACTGAAACAAAATATTGTTTAATATAATAATGTAAAAAGATCAATTATTTATAATATAACATTTTTATATATGTGAAAATCGAATTACTGTAAATTAAATTCAAATAAAATCAATGAATAACTCGGCAAATATTAAAGTAATTAGATAGCATAATTAAATCAATTTTCTTATTTTTTACGTATAACTTACGGATGATATGTTAGTATGGTTGGCTAACATTAAGCCAGACACTCTATGGGTACTCTGTATGTAAGGAGATTTCCTTGACAAAGCCACTTGTATACTAGCAGGACCCCAAGGTATAAATTGTGCAAGCTTTCGTTCTCTTATTCTTTGTAATGACTTGTGTACTTGTGTTGGATCTACTTCACCCTGTGAAAAATTATGTAATTATAATGATATATTTATTTAAATCATTGCTTTAAATTATTGGTACTTTCCTGGATAATATTTAAGATAGATATATAACAATGAGATGCGTTTCTATCTAACGCTGTGGAAACCATCATATTTTTTGGTTGCAGCAAACGTCTCATAACATCCAACACTGAAGTTTTCCAAACTGTAGCTCCCTTTCCATACTGAATTGGTTGACTACTCACTTCTCGATCTGCAGTAAGTGGAGTATAACCAGTCATGAGAAAATGCAATCGTGGTGTTGGGATTAATGGAGCGATTAAGCCCACCAAATCATTGTTCATGTATGAAGGATACCTAAATACCCAATATTGATGATATATTATTTAGTTAAAAATATAATGACCTTTCTAGTTTCCATACTTTTCAATTCAATCAACTTATACTTTACCGAAGTGTAGCAGTGCTAACAGACATTATTGTAGAAACAAGTTGATTTATTTGTGTGAAACTTGGATTTTGAATGTGGAGTCTATCTGTTGCTATTCTGTTAAGTGCAGTATTGTCTAAAACAACAACGCAATCAGCACATTGTGTCAATCTCTTCAATGTTAGCAGAGAATTATATGGTTGTACTACCACATCACTAAAAAAATAACAACATAATTCATTTTATAATCTACTTTGTTAATATTTTTCTCTATGAAATATACCTTATTTCATCTTGATTTGGAAATACACTGTAGGTTTCAATCAATTTTTTTGGATATCTGTCTGCAAGAGATTCAAGTATAAACGAACCCATACCTGAACCTGTACCACCTGCTATGGAATGACACAAAACAAATCCCTGCAAAATATATACAATATTACAAAGTTTTCAAATCATATTGCTCTTCTAAATAGGTATTTAAGCATACCTCCAAACTATCACTTCCATCAGCTTCTCTATCTAAAATATCAAAAATTTCTTCCTGAAGTTTCTCTCCTTGATGATAACCCGATGCCCAGTTATTTCCAGCACCACCTCCATGTTTTGATAAATAAATATTCTCTGGATTGTATAGCTTATAAAAAATAACTTTAATGTTAATAAAATATTGCCACATTAAATAGATCACAGGACTTTATTGATATTCAACAAAATATATTCCACGCATGCATTCATGAAATCCTTTTAGAAAAATAAAAATAAAAAATTATAAATATAATGTACGTAAAAAAAATGTGGAAATTGATCAAATTTATACTAAATACGATAATACCTTAGAAAATGGAGAATTCATTATTGTATGAATTACTCTAGGTTCTAAATCTAATAATACTGCTCTTGGTATATAATGTTCATCATCTGATTGATAAAAAAATACATCCTTTCTATCAGTTCCTTCTGTCGCATAATCTTCTAAAATACCTTCTGGACTGATGCCATGTTCGGCACATAATTTCTTCCAAAATTCAAATCCAACTGAAAAATGTTAAAAAATCAACTTAATGTTTAATTCATAAAATATGTCATATTGTGTACAATAAATTTCCTATACTAAATAGGAGCTAAGCGATTCTTTAGAGAAATTGCAAAATATGATTATTATAATGAATTATACGAATGAATATTTTTAAGCGGATATTTATACTGCACTGCAACAAAACAAATTTTGGTATAATAAATTTAATACAAAGATTACAGAAATTATTTTATATAATCAACATTTTTATAACCGAAAATGCAATCTCAAAAATACCAATAACAAAATAAAATTGAAACTGATATTTTAAAACAACCGTAGCATAAATTGTGTTACTTACTTTGGTTGCCACATTGGCCTAATTGCAAAGTAATCATTTCACAAGGCATCTTGATTTTATTATTTTATTTTAATTTTACGCGGGATGGACTGTCGATTTGATTAAAATTTCACCTTTTTATAATCTGTTAGGAATAAATATAGTGGATAGTAGAGAGGATACGTAATATGTAGTGTGTGTCAATATAACAATACTTCTTTAATTAATCGCCAGATGGCTAACAGTAATTAAATCCGCATGCGCATGCCGTCTAGATTTTTGAAATATATAACGTAGAGTTTTACGTGTATACATACGTAACTTATTCAAACGGTTATACAAACTTATCAATTACAGCTGTTATTACAGCTGCTTCAAAGCTTAACAATTAATATTTATGTAGCTTAAAATACATATAACATGTAGTATGTATGTATGTGTGTATGTTTATCGAAGTTACATACATACCTACACTAGATATGGAAACACTACCACGACATACTCTCCGACCTATGCCTAACTACATGTCATATTTGCTGGAACCACTGCAACAATGCGTAGCTTGAATCTAACCTATCAAATGTATTCCGTCTAATAAAGATCATAGTAATTTTTTTATTGCTTCTATATGATCTAATATTATATAAAACATAATACAATAAAGTATTAGCTAGATGCTATACGATATCTGTTAGACATGTCAGTTTAAATAATAGTCATAATAATCTCAGTGGTGCATTTGTGTATAACGAAACGTCAAAAAATATAATATTTCGAAGGTATGTCGTCAATGATTATTAATTTGTCATGCTGTGTTTTAATAAATTCGATATTTCTATAATGTAATTGTAAAGAGACCGAAGAAAGTTAATTTGATACTCATGCTCATATCAGAGATATATGTGTGTTCAATTATTGTACCAATAGAAAGCTATTTTCATAACACTCATATTATTCAATTGTTGAAATCCAAATTATAACTTACTTATATTTTTTACAAAATTATTACATTTTACTTACTTTAGCAGTATAATAATAATCTGTATAAAATAAATTTAATTGAATAATGTTTGACAATAATTGATTTTGGAAAATAAACATAATATGCCATTTTGTGTTGTTGAATTTCACACAAGATATTTTATTATATATACTATATTAATTGTGTATTGTCATTCACAGATGTCTGGAAACAAGTGCAGAAACTGTGGGTCTACGGACATTGAAACTGATCCATCCAGAGGAGATGCAGTTTGTACAGAATGTGGTTTTGTATTGGAAGATCAGCTTATTGTCAGTGAAACTGCATTTAAAGAAACACCATCTGGAAATATGATGGTGCTTGGTCAATTTGTTGCAAATGATAGTACTGGTGGAGCTACAGGTTTTGGAGCAGGTATGTAATTTTTGAGAAAATGATAATCTATGAAACAGGAGCACTAAAATTTTTATTTTGTTCTATATAGCATATCATGTGAATGGAAAAGAATCAAGAGGAATAACTTTACAAAATGCAAGAAAAGGAATAACTCATTTATGTATGCAGTTGCGGTAAGTAATAATCTTTTTGTAATATAATAAATCAACTTCACTCTTCTGCAGTCCTTTTATTTTACACACTTTTTTTTGTTACTAGTTTGAACCAGCATTGCATCGATACATCCATGAATTTTTATAAAATGGCGTTAAATCAACATTTAACTAGAGGAAGAAAACAAGCTCACAATCATGCGGCTTGTGTTTATATTACTTGTCGTACCGAGGGCACTGCACGTATCCTTTAAATTTTTAAAAAACTAACATAGTAAAACATCTTAAAATTTTTGTATTGCAATTTTCGAGTATACTCTCTAATGTAATTTTCTAATCTTTAATTTAACATAATCAACTCAGAAAGTAATATTTCTTCTTGACTAATTAATTAGATATGCTTATTGACATCAGTGATGTGCTTCAAATTTGTGTGTATGAATTGGGACGCACATATCTACGGTTTACTCAAGCTCTGTGCATCAATATACCTTCAGCAGGTGAGCATTCAACATATTTTAAATTTGCATGATATGTAAATAGTTTGATTCTTACTTTTTTTTAATACATATTTTATTATTAACACGCAAATTACACAAAAGATATAACATTTTAAACTAGGTACTGCATCGTTTCGATTCGAATATACTGTAGCACTGTGTTAGCTGATAGCAGCTTAGGAACATATCTGGTCAGCCATAAAAGGAAATTGAATTTTAAAGAATTTCTATTATTTTTCTTGTCCATTAAATGCAAGTTAGGTACCGGTTTCGCTCAGGTTTGTTTATTTTAAATTACTAAAATATTTATAGTTCAAATGTTTCTAAATGATAAATATAGTAGTTATGCTTTTAATTAATTAACTGATAATAATATAAAATAGCATTTTAAAATCTGTTTTGTTGATGCTAATAATTTTTCAATAATTGAAATGTTTTAAGAAGTTTAATTTAATGCATAAAAATTAGTGGTGTACGAAATAATGTTAAATTACTATTCCCATATGAGATTCTTATATTCATTTATTGCTTTTCTGATAACGGTTTTGTATCTTACACATCATGCCGTTAGAAATATTTTACTGTAATATCTATCATTAAATAATTTTTCAACTATTACAATGCAAGGCATAAAACTAAATTTATTGTTTATCTATAGCGACTATGTTAATGTCAGATAAATATAGTTTGATATATATTTAAAATTTTGCTTCGAAGTAATGATGTAAAATTATTTTTCTGTTAGTAGAGTGCCAATCTTGAACCAGTTATAGGGAGGTGCTTTTAAAATTTAATCGTCTTTTTTTTCTGTTCTCACTGGCTGAATATACTAACAGT